TTTCAATTCGGTTCCAACTCACAAAAACCCTATACAGAGTTTCCAAGGTTGTGAATCTTTGTGGGAGCTTTTAGAAAGCCTCATCTTTCTCCCTCGTGGTTCATAGTCCAGTGCTTACACTCTAGACTCACCAGGTTCCCCCTTGTTTATATACACAAAAAGATAACAGTATAGCTAATTATGAACATTGTCGTTGTTAAGTGACATCAAATTGGTTTCAACCCATAGCGACTCTGTACAGGGTTTCCAAGGAGCAGCTGGTGAGCTTGAACCACCGACCTTGTTCAAACAGCTTTGTAGTCTGATGCATTAACCCAGAGCGCCACACCAGGACTGGAATTATGAACATAGTCACTTTTATTTCAAATAGAGCCTAATGGTGACCTCAGGTTACAAACTATCAGGGTCTCTGCTAGGCCACAGCAGCACAATAAACATGAAGTCTCTGCCCTCAAGACTTCTCATCAAGTAGACAAGCTGAAAATGTGGTAACATTGCAAAGGGGCACACACAAGTGACTTCTCACCATTTGCTAACTCGGCTCAGCAAGTTCCCTTTGTGAAGTTAATATTTAACCGAAACATCAAGGACCCAAGGAACCTGGATTCTTCAGTCTTAAATCTGCTACCAGCTGTTTGGTGTTAAGTGCCGTCAAGTCGGTTCAGCCTCATGGTGATCCTGTATAGGGTTTCCAAGGACCGGCTGGTGGATTTAAACTTGCTAACCTCATGGTTAGTAGTCAAGTGCTTATCCTACAGCGCCACACCACGACTCCCATTTCTGTATTTATAAAAGGAGTAATATACTACCTGCCATTCTTATCCCAGCACCGTATTCATGAACAAATGAAGCTATTTAAAAGAGCTTTGAAAACTATAAAATACATATTTTCTCAGCTATCACCATCAAATGCTCTGAAAAGGATCACATTAGAAGGTCCTGGGGAGAGAGAAAATCATTAAAAAGATCAACTATACAGGTCAAATCGAGAGTGGTGGGCTCCCTGAGCTTGTCCCCTTCAACTACCCTTCATGTCTGGAAGTGAACTCACCACTGGCTTAAATTTCAGTCAAACAATAAACAGGTCAATTAAGGGAATGATAACTTTAGTGACGAAGCAAACATTAGACTAATCAGCCACTTGAAATAAAAGAACAGCATTCACCCAAAGACAAAGTTCTGGAAGGGTTTAGGAAAGGAGGAAGAATGCAAACAGCAAACACATGAGGCTAGTGAGGTAAGTGATGTTCCACTGGGATTCGGACTCATCACGACCCTGTATCAGGTTTCCAAGAGCAGCTGATGGGTTTGAAACACCGACCTTGTGGTTACCAGCCCAGTGCTTACCATAATCACCACAATCAATGAGATGAAAACAAAATGTGTATGATTCTTGAGTGTAAAACTAATCATCCAGGATGCAAACTTTCATTCAATTCACAATAAAAAGATAAAAATAACCTATTATTTTTCCTATGATTACATTTCCTAGATTTTTAGCAAACTTAAAATTCTTGGTTTGAGATTTTTGACAACTGTTCTTAGTAGCTAGCAATGGTAGTTGGTCCTTGGATGGTTCTGATATCTGGCCCTGTGTGTAGACTATTAACGATGTTGTTCTTATTTCCATTTTTTTTTTTTTTTAATTGCTGTTTGAGTTAAAAGTTCACAGAGCAAATTACTTCACCATTCAACAATTTATACACCTTGTTTCACAAGATTGGTTGCAATCTCAATGTTAACAGCATTCCTTCCATTTCTCACCTAGGCTGTCCATTTCCATTTTTCCTTCCTTCCTATTCCTTCCTGCCTTCTGCGATTTGTTCATGGACAAATGCTGCCTTTTTGGTCTTGTGTGGTTTGTTACTCTGCTGAGTACATGCCTCATGAATGTGACTGTTCACCTTTGTAGGCCTGTTGGTTGTATGACTGCAAGGTGATCCCTAGGGGTGGGTTCAACTCTAGGTTAAAAGAGTGTCTAAAGGGCCACATCTTTTCAGACCAGTGTGTCTGCTCTCTATGATGTTTAATTTTGTTGTACATTTTCCCCCTACTCTGTCCAAGGCCTTCTGTGATCCTGATGAGAGCAGTCAGTAGTGGGAGGCAGGCATCACCTAGGTCTTCTGGTCTCAGGGAAGCGGTGGCTATGGTTTCCATGTTCCATTAGTCGTTTGGACGAATTGTGTCACCGAGTCTTTGATTTTCTTCATACTTCTTTGTTCCAGATAAGAAAAAGCCAATATTACTTCTTAGGTGGATATGCACTAGCTGTTAAAAGCCCCATGGCTACTTACCACAAATGAGCTTAGAGCATGTATTTGTGAACTATGTTAAGATAACTGACTTAGCTGTCATACTAGACTATAGTTCTAAGGTCCCGAGTCAACCCTTGACTCATCTCAACCCAATGTGACAGAGTAGAACTGCCCCATAGGGTTTTCGAGGCTGTAATCCTTATAGGAAAAGATTACTAGTATTTCTCCCATGGAGCCCAAGTAGGTTCAAACTGCTGATCTTTTGGTTAGCAGCCAAACACTTAACTGCACTGCCAGGGTTGCTTCTATAAATGACTCAATCATGTTTTGAGTCTAAATTCAATCTGATTAATAACTGCTACCTATAAATCCGTAGTGGTTACGAATCAGGCTGCGAACCTTAAGGTCAGCAGTTCGAAACTACCAGCTGTTCCGTGGGAGAAAGATGAGGCTTTCTGCTCCCGTAAAGATTTACAGCCTCAGAAACCCTGTACAGGGTCGCTATGAGTCGGAACCAACTCCACGGCACACAACAACAACCTATAAATCAGCTCTGGTAGCACAGTAGTTACGAATCGGGCTGTGAACTGCAAGGGCAGCAGTTCGAAACTACCAGCTGTTCCGCGGGAAAAAAGTAACGCTTTCTGCTCCCGTGAAGATTTACAGCCTCGGAAACCCTGTACAGGGTTCACTATGAATCGGAACTGACTCCACGACAAATAACCACCAACCACCTGTAAATAAATCGCAAGGAGCTCTGGGAGCGTAGTGGTTACGAATTGGGCTGCTAACCTCAAGGTCAGCAGTTCGAAACTACCAGCTGTTTCGTGAGAGAAATATAAGACATTCTGCTCCCATAAAGATTTACAGCCTCAGAAACCCTGTGCAGGGCCACTATGAGTCAGAACTGACACTACGGTACTTAACAACAACAATAAATACCAGTGATTAATCAGAATGAATTTAGACTCGAACACATTTCTCCTTTCATGTGCTGTTATTCAGTGCCACTTTGTCAATTCCAACTCATAGCAACCCTGTATACGGTTTCTGAGGAGCAGCTAGTAGATTTGGAATGCTGCTAACCTTGTAGTTCCCAGTTAATGCTGATCCTAAAGCACCACACCAGAATAAAGAAAATTCTTAGTGTAGGTTTTCTGTGGATTTCTTTTTGATCCAAAGCAACGTACTGGTACACAGGTGGCATCCATCAAATGTTAAAGGAATGAAAAAAAGTAAGTTCTGGTTCAGCTTCACCTTTAACCTCTCTGAGCTCAATTACTTAGGAAATGTGCCCAGACCATGCCAGGTACTCCGTAAATAAACAATTCTCAATTTATGAGTCTTGGTCACCTTTACATTCTTAACAACGATTAAAAACCCCAAAAATCATTTGTTTACATAGGTTGTATCTATTCCGTTCACACTAGAAACTAAAACACAGAATTCTTAAAAAAGATAATACAGCCCTGGTAGTATAGTAGGGTAAGCACTGGACTGCTAACCAAAGGTTGGCAGTTCAATCTCACAAACCGCTGTCTGCTCCAGTAAAGATCCAGTCTCAGAAACCTTATGTAGGGGCCCTATGAATCAGAAGGATCTCAATGGCAGGGAGTTAAATTTGGCTTGGCTTACATGTTAATAATAAACCCAGTCTGTTAAATAACGTTCATTCTATGAAAATCATGTATTTTTTAGAAGATGATTTCTTGTTCAGTTACCTTGTATTATGTTTCTACTAATTTCTTTAAAATCTCGCTTAAAAGAAAAGTTTGAGTCTCATTTGGTATGAAATGCTGTGGTGTAGTACGATGAGCATTGGACTGCTAACCAAGACGTCGGTGGTTCAAGCCTATCAGGCACTCTGAGGGAGAACAATGAGGCTTTCTGCTCCAGTGGAGTTGTAGCCTCGGAAACCTTACCTGGTGTTGTTCTGGGTCGAAACCAGCGAGACGGTGCTTAATAACAAAATTGGTTTGGCTGAAGAACAAGATCAGGTCTCACACAGATATGTAGTTAGGAAAGAGGAGCATTTTATATAGCCTTTTCAAGTGATAATGTGGGTAATCCTTCTGTGATAGTCTAGTAAAACTTGACAAGTGGTAATTTTTTAAAAAGGTTAAAACTGCAACGTAAATTCTTAAACTTAAATCAAGGTCTGGTTTGGTTTTGAACTGTTACATGAAAACCCACTGATTTTTTTAGCATGCATAATATCCTAACAGTATGCACTAGCTTTTTAAAAAAATACCTGCTCAATGAGCCACATAAACTGTGGGCATGTGGCACATTTCATTAAAAAATCGCATTCACTGATAGCACCACTGATTTCAACAGAAAGGTCTTTAAATAGTGGGAAGCTGTTGAGACCATGAAAGTAGACACAAATCCTCCACAATGTTTACTTTCATTTGAATGTTTACTTTTGTCATTGGCAATAATGACTATTAGTTCTTCTCTTCTGTTCACTTTCAAGAAGTCATCTGCCAAATACCTAACATCATTAAAATGATGTTCCACATTTTAATCAAAGATTCTATATCAGAATCCTGATTGTGATTGTAATCATTGTAATGACACAGAGTGTATGATCTGTTAAATGTGGGCCTTGTCCTGTAAACCTTCACTCAATTCAAAGTAAGACATTTTTAATAAAGTGAGTTGATTCAGATAATAACAAAAATGCAAAAAAAAAAAAAAAAAGTGGGGGAAATACAGACTAATCTCCAATTCTCCGGGAATCTAGACTTTCTGGAGCCATTAAGGCCAGATGAAGTCTCCAAACTACTGCTCTGAGAAAACCTTTCTATCTTAAACCCCAAATACCTTTAAACCAAACAATAATTTAGCTTAATCAGTAAAGAATGTAGGCCTTGAACATTATGCTCGTTTAAGAACTATCTAAATGGGATCAAATCGACAAAACCAACTAGAGATTAGATAGAATAGTTAGCATGCAATGAGTGAAGGGGAAAGGACCATTTAAAAAATGAGAATGGCCACACAACTTAGATCAGTGTCACTGAACAGTACATGCGGTATCCACTGTAGACATTATCAACATGCTATACATATATGCAAGGAGCTCTGGTAGCGTAGTGGTTACGAATCAGGCTGTGAACCGCAAGGTCAGCAGTTCGAAACTACCAGCTGTTCCACGGGAGAAAGAGAAGGCTTTCTGCTCCCGTAAAGATTTACGGCCTTGGAAACCCTGTACAGGGTCGCTATGAGTCGGAACCGACTCCACGGCACATAACAACAACAACAACAATACATATATGCTATATACATTATCAACAAATGAGTTGTTTTTTAAAAATGGTATTCCATTCAAAAGGTGGCTAATTCAGATCTCAACTCAATCACACCAGTTTGTTTTGCTTTTACAAGACAACATACTTCATTATACAGAGGGGCTTCAGGGTACACATAGAGGAAGGGCTTCAAAAAGCTCATGGAAAAATTCTACTGTGTTTTAATGCCACATTTTCCATGAACTCTTTAAAGCCCCCTCATACAGTTCTACTCAGTATACAAACTACTTTCTATTACCTCACAATGAATATTCAAAAGAGATAGGCAAGGGCCAGGGTTTAAAATAATGCGATGTCATTCTTTAAACTTTTTTTTTTTTTTTTCAAATGGGGGGTGGGGACAGTGAATATTACAATGATTTCAAGCATGAGTTTGATGTGACCATCTTGAGTTAAAGTGTTCCAGATTTATTTTATCCACCACTGCTTGGAGATAACTGAAATGTCAACACAGCGAAAAATGACAAATACCATCGTAGTCCAAACCCATTGCAACCAAGTCTGTTCCAATTCCTAACAACAGAGTTTCTAAGACTATAAATCTTTATGGGTGCAGACAGCAAAATCCTTCTCCCTTGGAGCAGCTGGTGGGTTTGAACTACCAACCTTCCAGTTAGCAGCCCAATGCCTAACCCACAGCACCACCAGACTTCTTACCATCTTGTTATGTGCCATCAAGTCAATTCCAATTCATAGATACCCCATTGTGTGTCTGAGGAGTGGCTGGTGGGTGTGACCCACAAACCTTGAGGTTCAAAACCACACAGACCTTGCAGTCCAGTGCTTATCCTACAGAGCCACACCAGGACTCCTATTTTCTCAGCATTACTATATAAATAGCTTTTTCTTAAAGAGACTCTCGAGTCCTTTTGAATTGCTCTCATATGTGGCGAGTTTGAGCTATAGGATACATTGGTTTTGGAGCCAAACAGATCCAGGTGTTGACCATAAAGCTTGCTCAAGTAAGCATTCAAAGTCTGTCTCCTGACTCGTACAACTGAAGATCTTACCTCATACCTTCCAACGTTCACCTGCAGAATTTCTTATAAATTAATAAAACAACAATAAACATAGTAACTGGTCCACAGTAAACACACCAAGTATAAACCACAGAAGGAGGGAGAGGAAATTACTGTTCCAAGGGCAGAAAAAAAGAGATTGGAAGAAAATATAGTGATCTAAAAACAAAACGCACTGAGCCATTTAAGGCAAATGCCAGGAAGCCTCAAATATCCATATGCACAATAACAGTCTGAAGACAAATGTCATGGGAAAAGGAATGAGACTAGGGAAAACAAAAGAAAACCAGACCAACATTAGGAAAAACATGATAGACCCTGAAAAGAGGCAACCAATTTCCCAACACCGTATTTCGAGGAGGTTTGAAGAAAGAAAAAAGTCAATAAAACAAACAAGATTTGGGAAAGGTAAGAGGGCTCCCTCCAAAGAGACGATGGGAGAAATACATTCACTAAAACGCAACGAGCTGCAAAGTCTACATGTTATTAGGCTAACAGCAAAAAAAACTTACCAACATAAGCTCCTAATTCTTGCAATTTCCCCTTAATGGCACTCTGAGGGAGGGGAAAAAACGTGCGGATGAGAAAGGCGGCTCTTAGGAAACAAGACGACTCTGCAGCGCGGAGGCAGCTTGGAAGGTGCGCGCAGCTCCTCGGTCCCTAGACGGCCAGGTGGGGGCGGGGAGGCGCCTCGGCCCCCCGCCCCCACGGCGCCCCCTCCAGCCGCGACCCCAGTGCGTTTCTCACCCGGCTGGCAGGCGTCCTTCCGTTTCCCCGGGACTCCTTCCTCACCTGCAGCCGGTCGCGCAGTCCCAGGCCGCGTCGGCGCCCAGGCCCCAGGCGCAGCTGCCCGGCCCGGAGCCCGTCTGGAGCGCCGGTGGATACGCCAGGCCGCGGCGGCTAGGCCGGGCCCGCCGTCCCCGTTACTCCTGACAACCGCCCGCCCGCCGCGACCCGACCCCAGACCCGTTTCCCGCCCCCGCCCGGCGCCAGCTGACACGGGCCTCACCCGGATCTTGCGGCTGATTTCGGTGCCGATCTCCATGGCTCCGCGGCGGGCGGCGGGCGGCGGACTGGAGACTGGCGGCGCTAAGCTTACCCGGAGCCCGTCGCGACTCCACTCCGCAGACCCGCCACCGCTACCGCCGCTCCGCCCCCGGCCGCGCGCACTGCGTGCCCCGCCCCCGCCGACCAGCGCACGGGAGTGAGCGGGGCCGAGCGGGTGGGACTGCGCATGCGCGAGCCCGAGCGGCCAAGTCTGAGCTCCCGCGCTCTCTGCTGGTGGTGAAAAGTACCGAAGCCCTCTTGAGTCCCTGGGAGCCTTTCAGGTTCCCTTCCTGGTGTGGCGCTGTGGCTTAATGCGTCAGACTGCAAAGCCATTTGAACTTCAAGGTCGGTGGTTCAAGCTCATCAGCTGCTCCTCGGAAACCCTATACAGGGTCGCTATGGGTTGGAATAGACTGGACGGCACTTAACAACGATGCCTAGTGTGGTGCTGTAGGATAAGCGCTGGGGCGCAAGGTCGGCTTGAACCACAAGGTCAGCGGTTCAAACTCACCAGCTGTCTTTGGAAACTCTATACAAGGTCGCTGTGAATCAGAACCGACTCCACGGCACTTAACACCAATTTATCCATCAGAGCCCTGGTTTGGTACTGTTGGAGTGCTAAGCGCAAAGTCAGCGGTTCAAACCCACCAGCTGTTCCTCGGAAGCCTACAGAGGATCACTTGTCAGCACTTACACAGTTAGTTCTTGAAGAGAGGCTAGTGGGTTTGAACTGCTGATATTGCGGTTAGCAGTGCAGAGGTTTCGTTACATTTACACTTGGAGGTGGAAATGAATAGCCAGCAAACAACCAGTCTATGAGCATGCTTTCTTTAACTCTACGCATGCGCTGGTTTTCCTGAGACTGGTTCTGCCTCCCAGTCACCAAGCCCATCAGTGGTGTGTCCCCAAAATTGAGTCCTGATCTTACTCCTATCTCTCAGTGCCTCTTTTGGGGAACTCTTGTTCTCAGCATGTTAGCTGTCACCTTACTGCTGATGAGAACCATTTGTTCCATCAGACCCAAGTTCTCATTTCAATTCCACTCCCAGGCTCCAGCTGACCACAGGCATGGCTGGCATTTTCTCCAAAATCAGAACTGAAGTCTTCATCATTTTCTTTCCACCCCCACTGGAATTGTTTGCTGGAAGTCCTGTGGCACTGTAGAATAATGCACTGGACCACAACGCCAACTTAATCAAAAGGTTGGCTGTTCAAACTCACCAGGCACACCTTGAAAACCCTATATCATTGCTGATGTCCGATGGATCTTGGCTGAAAGCACAGAATAATCACAAACATGTTTACCTGTGCTTTGTTGACTACGCAAAGGCTTTCAATTGTGTGGATTATGACAAGCTATGGACAACATTGCAAAGTATGAATATTCCGGAACACTTAATTGTGCTCATGAGGAGTCTGTACGTGGACCAAGAAGCAGTTGTTCAAACAGAACATGGGAACACTGATAGGTTTAAAATTTAAAAAGGTGTGCTACAAGGTTGTATTCCTTCACCATACTTATTCAACCTGTATGATGAGCAAATAATCCAAGAAGCTAGGTTCTATGAAGAAAAATGTGACATCAGGATTGGAGGGAGACTCATTAACAACCTGCGATATGCAGATGATACAACCTTGCTTGCTGAAATTAAAGACGTCTTAAAACATTTACTGATGAAGATCAAAGAGCACAGCCTTCTGTACGGATTACATCTCAATGTAAAGAAAACAAAAATCCTCACTATTGAACCAATCAACATTCTTATCAACAGAGAAAAGATTGAAGTTGTCAAGGACTTCATTGTTCTTGGATCAACTATCAACATGCATGAAAGCAGCAGTCAAGAAATCAAACGATGTATTGCATTAGGCAAATCTGCTGCACAGGACCTTTTTAAAGTGTTGAAGAGCAAAGATGTCAGCTTGAAGACTAAGGTGCACCTGACCCAAGCCATGGTATTTTCAATAACCTCATATGCATGTGAAAGTTGGACAGTGAATAAGGAAGACCATAGAAGAATTGATGCAATTGAGTTATGGTGTTGGAGGAGAATATTGAAAGTGCCATGGGCTGCCAAAAGAACCAATAGATCCATTTTGAAAGAAGTGCAATCAGATTGCTCCTTGGAGGCCAAAATGGCCAAACTTCGTCTCTCATACTTCGGACATATTGTCAGGAGGGACCAGTTGCTGGAGAAGGATCTCATGTTTGGTAAGGCGGAAAGTCAGAGATAAAAAGGAAGACCCTCAACAAGATGGATTGGCCAAGTGGCAGCATCGATGGACTCAAGCGTGGCAACAGTAGTGAGGTTGGCCCAGGATTGGGCAGTGTTTTGTTCTGTTGTGCATAGGGTTGCTATGAGTCGGTGCCAACTCGATGGCTCCTAACAACAACTCTTGACCTGGGAGTTCTGGTGTGGTGCTGTAGATTAATGCGCCAGACTGCAAAGCCATTTGAACTGCAAGGTTGGCAGTTCAAGCTCACCAGCTGCTCCTCAGAAACCCTATACAGGGTCGCTATGGGCCGGAATCGATTCACTAGCACTTAACAACAACAACTCTTGACCTACTAATTTCTATCCATTGCAGCTTCATTGTCTCAATCATTTTCATAAAACCTGGGAACGAGAGTACACACAGAGGTTTCCGGTTTCCCCAATGCTGATTACTGAGAGTGATCTGTGCTATTTATTCATTGCTGCACAACAAATAATCACACATTTTTTTAAAAAACGTCACACGTTATCTCACAGTTCCCGTGGGTCCAGGCACAGCTGAGCTGTGCCTTCTGCTCAAGTCTCACCAGGGTGAATCAGGGTGGTGGCCAGGCTGCTCCTCATCCGGAGGTCTAACGGAAGAAGAATCTGCTTCTAAACTCATTCCGGTTGTTGAAAGAATGTAATTTCCTTGAGACTTTTGGAGCCAAGATCCTGGCTTTTTGCTGGCTGTTCTCAGGTTTGCCCTCAGTACCTTGCAGGTACATTTCTCCAGCAAGACTGCTCGTTTATCAAGCTGGCAAAGAACATTTCTCAGCTTGATGAGGGCTTTCACCTGATTAAAGCAGGTCCACTCAGAGCCTAAGGACCTCTGGTGGCGTAGTGGTTACGAATCAGGCTGCTAACTGCAAGGTTTGCAGTTCGAAACTACCAGCTGTTCTGCGGAAGAAAGATGAGGCTTTCTGCTCCCGTAAAGATTTCCGGCCTCGGAAAGCCTGTACAGGGTCGCTATGAGTCGGAACCAACTCCACGGCACATAACAACAACAACTCAGGGCCTGAATCAAACTCAACTGATTCAAGACCCAATTCCACCTGAAACACCTCTTCACTGTTGCCATATTCGCTTACTAGAAGAAAGCCACAGGTCTCCCTTACCTCCAAAAACAAAGGATTATAACAGAGACAAGAGTCATGGAGGTCACCTAGGGTCTGTCTGTCACCTGATCCCTTCATAATTTTCTCAATGCCTCTAACATCGAGTTGGGAACAAGTAGTATGACACTTCATATATGAGGGGCTTTAGAAAGTTTGTGGGAAAATTAAATTAAAAGAGAATTTTTCCACAAACTTTTTGAAACCTGCTTTTATTCTATAATGTCAACTGTATGTGTTTCTTCCCTAAATCATAAACTTACGTTGTTGTTGCTAAATGCCATGGAGTTGCTTCTGACTCATTGTGACCCTGTACAGAGTTCCCAAGGAGCACCTGGGGGGTTTGAACCCCTGATCTAGTTGTTCAAAGTCCAGTGCTTATCCTACAACACTATACTCAGCAGGTCTTTCTATTATCTCCAAAATCTCGTCCAGGATGCTATTGTTATTTAGTGCCTTAGAATCAGTTCTGACTCACAGAGACCCTGTATAGAGTTTTCGAACCTATAAATCTTTACAAGAACAGAAAGCCTCACCTTTCTCCCTCAGAGAAACGTGTGGCTTTGAACTGCCAACATTGTGGTTAGCAGTCCAGTGCTTATCCTACAGTGCCACACTTGTTAAGTGTCATCGAGTTGGTTCTGACTCATGCCAACTTTGTATAGGGTTCGCAAGTAGCAGCTGATAAGTTTGAACTGCTGACGTTGCAGCTCAAACTGAACTTTCAGTCCAGTGCTTATCTTACAGCACCATATCATAAACCCACTCATAGGGACCACATATAGGGTTTTTGAGACTGTAAGTCTTTCTAGGAGCAGAAACTTCTATTTCTCCTGCAGAGCAGCTGGTGGGTTTGAGCGGCCAACCTTTTGGTTAGTAGTCCAATGCTTATCCTACAGTACCACCAGGGCTCCTTAAATACATAATAAGCACCCATTAACTATTTGTTGAATAAATGATTAAAGACCTCAGTAACGAAAGCATTTATCAGAGCTAAAGCAAGAGATCACGCTATCCAGCAGCAGACAGTAGACCCATGGACTGAGAAAGACTGTGTGCCTGTAGGTAGGACAAGCTTGCAAAATGTGCCATTTGGACATTTAAATGAATATATATTTTTTGTTTTGTGTGTGTCCATCACATATTTTTGCTTTGTTGATTTGTGAAAAATAAGATGTCAAAGGGAATCCACAGGGAGGAAGCAGGAAATTTTCTTGTAGAAAAGGGATTGTAATCATTGAGATGACGTAAAAGGCAAGATTGGTTGAGGGTAAAGCTGATGATCTTGTCTGTTAACCTTCACTCAATTTACAGTAAAAAGTTAAAAAAAAGAAAGAGAGATCACACTGTCGTTGAGTATTGATGAAAGGCAGTAAAGCAGAGTGTCTGCGAATAAGAACAAGGTCATGGGAGTCAGATGGCCTGCCACTCCCTCTGAGTCCTTAGGCAACTAGCCCCTCTGCGTCTCAGTTTTCATATCTATGACATGGTGTGACATTAGTTTGTGGCACTGTAGGATAAGCACAGGACTGCTAACCTCAAGGTTGGTTGTTCAAACTCACCAGACACACCTCAGAAACCCTATACAGGGTTGATTTGAGTCGCTCAGGTACAGGAATTCGAAACTACCTGTGGTTCCGTGGAAGAAAGATGAGGCTTTCTGCTCCCATAAAGATTTACAGCCTCGGAAACCCTGTACAGGGTCGCTATGAGGCGGAACTGACTCCACGGCACGT